CCAATTATCATTGCAAGAGGTAGGAGAGAGAGTTGTCACTGTAGGTAAAGCTTTTCATGAGTTAGTTGATGAGTTGAGGAAGATAAGAAAAGGTCGGAATAAAGAATGAGTTGATGCTGTTATGTCTACTTCTGAATTGACTAAGCCACAAAAATGGAATATACTCAGTGACAATATCTCACAGGACATGAAGGATGCCTTTATTGACATGGATGCAAAAGACCGCTATGAGTTTCTACATTTTAGGTTGACCGGTGAGATAATGAATGATGGTAAGGATGAGACTCAAGCCAATTCTGATCCAAATGGTGAAGATTATGATTCTGATTTCTTTGGAGATGTTTAGAGGCAGTAATTTAGAAGTTTAGGATATTTATATGTTTTTTAAGATTTGTTATGGTGTTAGGATTCTGTGAAATTTTATATTGTCAAATTATTTTTCATTGAGTAGGTGGAACTTGGAATAATGTCATGTTTTTTTTAAACATTTGGAAAGTATTTTTAGGATCAATTTTATTTTAATTTGTCAAAACTATTTATTTTTAGGATATTGCTATGCTTTTATTTATTTGTTTATATTATGTTCTTATGTTATTTGACTTGTCAGCTATCTTAGTTTGGTGCATTTAATGGATGAAGTTTCTATTATATGTATCATCCCAACAAATGATTCTTGTATGTGTAGATGAGAGTAGTGCAATATTATGTTTTTTTTTTCTATTTTTCAGTAGTTTGGTGATTAACGATTAGCATACATATCAACATTTTTTAATTGATTGCTACTTTGTTATCAATCTCATTGTATGCTAATAATAGAGTGCTTTATTTATTTCCTATGCACATAAGTTTCATGTAAATTGATTATATTTCATTGGTTATATTATTTAATAGGATGGAGGAAGATCAAAATTTGCCCATTTTATATTTTCATCATGAAGACTTCGATGATAATCTTTTGATTCGCATAATCGAATTAGCTGCTGAGGCTGCAGATCTGATCACAAAGGTATCAGGATGTCTATCAAGGGAGTTCATAGCAAATACGCTTAATTTTCGAAGTCCTCGACGTGGTATTACAGATCTTAGTCTCACATACTTACAGTCCAAGATGGATAATCATCCTCAAGATTTTCGTAGAATTTACCGTATGTACCCAGATTGCTTCATGAAGTTATGCAATATCTTGAGAGAGCGGGGCTATATACAAGACACATACCACATTAGTGTTGAGGAGATGATTGCTATTTTACAGATCTTGGTCTCACATACTTACAGTCCAAGATGGATAATCATCCTCAAGATTTTCGTAGAATTTACCGAACGTACCCAGATTGCTTCATGAAGTTATGCAATATCTTGAGAGAGCGGGGCCATATACAAGACACATACCACATTAGTGTTGAGGAGATGATTGCTATTTTTCTTCTCACGGTTAGTCAGAACCAACGATACTTTGTTGCAACTGGTCGATTTGATCGTTCAAAATAGACCATCAGTGTATGTTTTAATAAAGCATTACAGGTCTTGGTATCTTTAGCATCATGCTTGATGGCATCACCCCCTACTGATCCACCTGATAAGGTTAAATCAGAATCTCGCTTTTGGCCTTATTTCAAGGTAATTATTATTGCTTTAGAATTTACACACACGCAGACACACACACGTGCACACATGCGTGCGTGCCCCCACACATATCACTTGAGATGGTCTGACACATTGATTATTCAGGACTGTATCGGTGCAATAGATGGGACTCATATACCGTGCATGGTGTATAACATAGATCAGACGCCCTATCGAAATAGACATGGTTTTCTCTCTCAGAACGTCTTGGCAGCTTGCACATTTGATCTCAAATTCATTTATGTCTTAGCTGGGTGGGAGGGTTCTGCTAATGATGCAAGAGTCTTGAAGGATGCAATGAGTAGACCTTATGGACTTCCACTTCCACAGAGTAATAATCTTTACATAGTATTCTATCAATTAAATCATATTTTTTAGTTTTACAATATTTTTCTCATTCATATTTATATTCTTGTTTGCAGATAAATTTTATCTAGTTGACTGCGGCTATCCAAATAGGCTACAATTTCTTGCTCCATACCGAGGTCAAAGGTACCATCTTTCAGAGTTCGGCCCTGCTAATAATCGACAACGACCACGAAATTCAAAAGAAGTTTTCAACCATCGGCATGCGTCTCTTAGAAATTGTGTCGAGCGCATCTTTGGAGTCTTTAAGTCTAGATTCACTATTTTCAAGAGCCAACCTCCAGGTTTTCCGTATGCCACACAAATAAAGATGTTCGTTGCATGTGTAGGATTGCATAACTTTTTAAGATTGGAGAATACAAATGATGACTTTGACATTTATGATCTTCCACTAGAAGCTCCACGAAATGTTGCTGATGCAGATGATGACTCCGATGAAGAAGATGAGTTACAGACTCAACAGACTCAACGAGCAGCTGCGGGAGCTTGGAGAAATTCTATGGCAGAGGCCATGTGGGATGATGGAAGTCGAGTCACTCTAGGAATTTAGATTTTTATTTAGTTGTAAAATATTTTATTATTTGAGATGAATAGTAATGTTTTATTGCATTATATTTTATAGTTATTACTAGACTAATCAATTGCTTATCAATCTTATATTATTTTTAATATACAATTATTAACAATAGTAATATATACCCACCATTACCCCCACCAAATTATCCTACCAAATTATGCAACTTCATAATATTATCCATCATTATCCCACCAAATTATCCTACCAAATTATCCAACTTTAAGAATTATCCATCATTGTTCCACTAAATTATCCCAGTGTTAAAAAATTATCCCACTTTACCAATTATCCCAGTTCTACTTAAAAAGTTCTAGGTGACTAACCCCCCCTAACAATTAAACCCGTAACCTTAACAACAAATCCGTAACCTACACAACAAATCCACAACCTTAACAACAAACCCTTAACCTTAACAACTAACCCGTAACCTTAACAATCAACCCGTAACCTTAACAACCTCCCAATACAAACAACCAAAATAATAAAAAACGAAAATAATAAAATAATCCCCATCAATCATTTCAACTATCCTCTTGGTACATCATGATAAAGAGAGAGAAAATAAAAATAATAAAATAATCCCCATCATATTTTAATAAAAAAAGAAAGAGAGAGAGAGAGAGAGAGAATTCATAACCTTAACAACAAACCCTTAACCTTAACAACCAACTCGTAACCTTAACAACCTTCTAATACAAACAACCAAAATAATAAAAAAACAAAAATAATAAAATAATCATCATCAATCATTTCAACTATCCTCTTGGTACATCATGATAAAGAGAGAGAAAAAACAAAAATAATAAAATAATCATCATCATATTTTAATAAAAAAAAGAAAGAGAGAGAGAGAGGATTCATAACCTTAACAACAAACCCTTAACCTTAACAATCAACCCGTAACCTTAACAACCAACCCGTAACCTTAACAACCTCCCAATACAAACAACCAAAATAATAAAAAATCAAAAATAATAAAATAATCCTCATCAATTATTTCAACTATCCTCTTGGTACATTATGATAAAGAGAGAGAGAAAACAAAAATAATAAAATAATCCTCATCATATTTTAATAAAAAAAGAAAGAGAGAGAGAGATGATTCATAACCTTAACAACAAACCCTTAACCTTAACAACCAACCCGTAACCTTAACAACCTCCCAATACAAACAACCAAAATAATAAAAAACGAAAATAATAAAATAATCCTCATCAATCATCATGATAAAGAGAGAGAGAAAACAAAAATAATAAAATAATCTCCATCATATTTTAATAAAAAAAAAAGAAAAAGAGAGAGAGGATTCATAACCTTAACAACAAACCATTAACCTTAACAACCAACCCGTAACCTTAACAATCAACCCGTAACTTTAACAACCTCCTAATACAAACAACCAAAATAATAAAAAACAAAAATAATAAAATAATCCTCATCAATCATCATGATAAAGAAAGAGAGAGAAAACAAAAATAATAAAATAATCCTCATCATATTTTAATAAAAAAAAGAAAGAGAGAGAGAGAGAGGATTCATAACCTTAACAACAAACCCTTAACCTTAACAACCAACCCGTAACCTTAACAACCTCCCAATACAAACAACCAAAATAATAAAAAACGAAAATAATAAAATAATCATCATCAATCATTTCAACTATCCTCTTGGTACATCATGATAAAGAGAGAGAGAAAACAAAAATAATAAAATAATCCCCCATCATATTTTAATAAAAAAAGAAAAAGAGAGAGAAGGGTATTATGGTCTTCACATGTTTTAATGTCTTGGGTTTTGTGTTTTGGGGCTCAGAGAACAGATTCTTTATTTTTATAGGTAAAACACCCATTGACCAAGTCCTGAGGGTGGGAAGCATGTTCACTTGGCTTTTGGGGGCTGGAAGCATTTTTCCCAAAAAACAAACTTAGACTGTCCTCGGGACCGCTTGGCTAAGTACGCAACCATATATATCCAGTTCTTCCTTTTTCAAGATTTTTATGAGAAAAGGGTAAATTTCATATTGTTTAACAACCAAACAATGACATGAGGCACAAAAACCAGACAATGACATTCTGACCCTTGGGCGGATCGGGAGCTAAGCATCAGAGTGAGAATTGTCCCCCACTGCATCATCTTCCGCATCCTTGGCTATATCCTTCCTGCCAAATTATTAAGTCGTCTTTATGAAACTATTAGATCCATAAATAAGATGTATCCAAATAACATGATTCTATGTTTCATTATTTAGTGTTATTGAGCTTGTTAAAAAAAAGTGCAGGATATGCAGAGCAAACAGTATACACGTGAATACTAGCTAGAATTACAAATTGCATACAGATAAAATTTTCTTCTTGTAGTCCTTACCCTCTCTATATAGCTACTCGTAATTTAAATATCCTTGATTCATAGTATTCAAAACTCCTTTTTGTTCGTTTATTGAAGTATCGGAGTTATATTGTATGTCATTGTAATGAAATGGGAGTTTGATTGTTGCAATGTTTGAACTACATTTAAACTTTTGCGTTGATTCTGCGCTATATAGCTAATTATTGTTTCCCCCAATAGACTAGGACGTTAACTCATGCTTTTTTACCTGTAACGTTATGAGAGGATGAAGAATATGATGAACATACTTGATGAAACAATATTTTTTTTTTTTGGTAAATGAAATATTTTATTCATTTCCAAATTGAAAGATCAGCGCAGCAAAATGCTCAGCAACTGAGATTACACGAACAATGTATCAAAAACTCAAATCACACAGAACATAACCATGCTCTGTCAACTTCCGAAAAAGGGCCATTGAGTATGCTGGAAAAAATGCTAAACTTGATCTCCTTGAAGACCTGATCAGCTGACTTGTGCTTAGATTTGAAAATTCTGGCATTCCTCTCTATCCATATGCTGTAAATTGAAGTGGTGAGGGCCATTCTTTTGATTTTCTGTTTGAACCCTCTTCCTCTCAACCTGAAGCAGTACCAGTCACTAATTTGATCCCATACACATGACCTCCACTTGAATTTTAACCATTCCATGACCTTGGACCAAACACTCATCGAAAAAGGGCAATCAAAAAAGAGATGATCCCTACTTTCATGTCTAGAAGTACAACATAAGCAGCAGCTATTATTAGATACAACCCCCCAATTGTTGAGTTTGTCTTGAGTTAGCAATCTATTTTGGATAGCCAACCAGCTGATGAACGAGTGCCTGGGGATATTGGTGGTCTCCCATATTGTATTGTGCCATGGTACTGAAGTTGAAACAGGGGAAAGAGCAGTATAGAGAGCTGATACACTTACAACTGAATTCCTACAACAGGATTGGATGAGTAGCTTCAGGTTATCAGCTCCATTAAAAATCCTCAGAGCATTATCTCTAGTCTTCAGAATCTGTTTCCATAGCCAAGAGTTCCCATTTTTTCCTTGAACAGTCCAGACATCACATTGCTTTAAATATGTACTATGAATCCACTTTATCCACAAGCTTTCCTTATTAATATGAATGTGCCAAAGGGTTCTCAAAATAGAAGCAAAATTCCAGATTAGAACTGAAAATATACCCAGACCACCATTATTCTTGCTCAGGCAAACTCCTTCCTGCATAAGACAACCCCCTATTTTTCATACAGGCCTGAAATTGATCAGAAACCTTTTTAAGGAGAGGAGAGCAATCCACAAAAGACAACCTCTTACAAATCATAGGGACACCAAGATATTTTATGGGCAATGCACCCTCAGGGAAATTCAATATGTTCCTGACAGCATTTTTAAAGTTGTCATCAACCCCTCCGTAAAAGATTTTACATTTATCAACATTTGCTTCCAGACCCGAGACATTGCTGAAGTCTCTGAAACAATTGAAGAGCTTGCTCACTGAAAGAATATCTCCCTTAGAAAAGAGCAATAGATCATCAGCAAAGATAAGGTGTGTAATCTTAAGCTCACCACACCTAGGGTGAAATTTAAAGGATCTGTCATCTTTAAGCTTGGACAGATTTCTGGATAAGTACTCCATCCCCAAAATGAACAAATAAGGAGATAAGGGGTCACCTTGTCTTAACCCTCTTTCTCCCTTGAAGTAGCCATGGAGTGAGCCATTAAGTGAAATAGAGTAATTTGGAGAGGATATACAAGCCATGATCCAGTTTATCATCTTAACTGGGAATCCAAGTCCCTTTAACATATCTTTTAGAAATTCCCAATTAATAGTATCAAAGGCTTTTTTAATATCAATACTTAACATGACCCTGGGGGAGATGTGTTTCCGATTGTAATTCTTAACTAACTCATGAGCAAGAAGAATATTGCTTGAGATTTGTCTTCCTTTCACAAAGGCACTTTGTGCCTCATTTACTAGATACCCCATAATAGGCTTAATCCTGTTTGCAAGAATTTTAGAGATAATTTTGTAGATGCAGTTGCAACAAGCAATTGGTCTAAAATCAGATGGAGTCTTTGGACAGGTCACTTTTGGAATCAATGTGATGGCTGTAGCATTAACTGCACTTAGGAGCTTACCAGTTTTGAAGAATTCTTCAATTGCTAAAGATATGTCATCCCCAATAACAATCCATGCAGATTTGTAGAAGGACATACTATATCCATCAGGACCAGGAGCTTTGTTTTCTGACATAGAGTGGACTGCAGTTCTGATTTCTTCCTTGGAAACTGGAGTAGATAGAGTATCAGCTTGTGTATTGTTTAGGCAAGGACCACAGTGAAGAACATTGAGATCAGGTTTTGATGTAAGAGAAGTTGTGCCCAAAAGAGTTTTGTAGAAAGTCACCAACTCATTGATAATATCATTCCCTTCCGTGATTCTATCCCCTGCACTGTTGTACAACACCATAATTCTATTCTGATGTCTTTTTGCTTTGATAGCAGAGTGGAAAAAACTAGTGCATCTGTCCCCTTTCACATTCCATTGAATTCTAGCTTTCTGATGATAGAAAGACATCTCACATTCCAGTAGCTTATTATATTGAGCTATGCATATTTTTTCCTGATTTATCAAATCTGAATTTAGAGGATCCCTTTGAAGATTGTTTTGCATAATATCCAAATTCATTTTTGCTCTAATCACCTGTTCACTGATATTGTGAAAATTCCTCTTATTAAGATCCTTCAGTGCAATTTTCAGAAGCTTCAGTTTTTTTACTACAGAATACATTGTGCATCCTGAAATTGAACTTTGCCAAACAGAGGAGACAGTATGCATGTAACTCTCATGCTTTGTCCACATTTTAAAAAACTTGAAGAAGTTACCCCATGTAGCATAGCTCTATTTTATAGCAGATCAGAGGGGTATGAAGGTAACTTTGATTGAGTCTAGGCAGGCTGTTGAGTTGGCAGATACCTTCTAGGTGTCGGTCGTGGAAGAAAGTGAGTCATATGGTTATTTAATGAGGGAATGACAGCATGTGCTTGGCGTTGACTAGGCCCGATGACTCATAATGGGGGCTAGAGTAATGATGATTTTGTTAGAGCAGTTAATGTGAGAGCAGTTGGCTAGTGAAGGGTTCGAGGTAATTGCTGCATCTATGTTTGTTTGGTCTAGGTCCGAGAAGCACCGCCTTTTGACTCTGCAAGACTATCCACATTAACTTCCAGAATATTGGGATTCCATAGAATCAAAATCCTTGCTCTTCCTGTATAATTTGCATTTGAGAGCCATTTCCAGCCACTGGCAATCTTCTTTGCAGAGATAGAGAGCTTATCTATTTTTATTTTTGTTTCAACTAGAGCCAAGAAAGAGAGCTGGTACTGCATAATATGAAGTTTAGCAACATGTTGCTTTGAGGACTTGTTAAGTCCTCTAATGTTCCAGAAAGAGAGGTTCATAAGATAGATGTTCCCCCCTATCCACTGAAGAGGAGTCCATTTCTAAATCTTTAAGATGAGCAAAAGGATTTCCAAGAGTAGGAACATTGATCATACCAGCTATTTGAGTCTTATTGGCAGATGATCTTTTGACACTAGTAGAAAACACTGGTCCAAACTCCTGATGTAAATTTTTCCCAATTGTTTTAACTCTGGAGTCTTGAGAGGATATACTCCTGGTTTCTTCACTAGTCTTATGTTCCTGAACATGCACAACGTGCACAGGAGCAGAGACAAAAGTTGGATCCCCTTGAACACTCCCCTCACAAAAATTTTTTTGCTTCCTGGGTATGTCTACTTGAGCTTTCAATACATTCTCGGTAGTCTTCAATTGATTCCCCATATTCCCAGTATCAGTAACAGTATCAGCTTGTGCCACATTTTTTGGCACCCATTTTTGAATTCTGGGGAATCTTTTGCAGAAATTTGTGTCATGACCCACAAGTTTGCATTTATCACACCACCTGGGTTTAATTTCATAAATCACCCTTTGATTCACAAATTTACCATTTGGTCCATGTATAGAGATACAGTCAGGTAGAATGGCTGGCATATGAACTTCCACCAGGACCCTAGCATAAGCTAGTCTTTGTTTGTTTGCTGTAAGCTTATCAGTAGCTATAGGCCTACCAACCTGACTAGCAATTTTACTAATAGCATTAGGAGTCCATAAGTTGAGCCTTAATCCAGGTAACTGTATCCAAACAGGATATATATTTTCATTTATCTTGACCATGTCTTCCTCAATTGTCCATATTTTTAATAACAGGGGTCTTGAGCCAAAGAACCAGGGACCAGAAGCAAGGATATCCTCCATTTCCTCATTATTCTTGAATTTAAACAGGAAAAAGCCTGGTTTAAGTAATAAAACTTCAGGACAATGTGACCAGACTTTTTGAACAAAATTCTCCATGGCCTTAAACTTGACATTTAAGCCTAATACTTGACCAATCAAAGAGAATTTCCAGTTAGAATTACCCTCATTCCATTCATCCTCATTAAAGTTAACAAACTCTTTGTTCTCTGAATCCACATAATTCAGACTCATGCCGCAGCCAGATTTCCTGTTATCTGCAAAAAGACTAACCCAGGTCTTCTTGGTGTTGTCTTGATCTTTTTCCTTAATAAGATTTTGATCTATATGATTCACTGAAGAAGGAAAACCTTTACTATCATCTATTTTCTCATCAACAGGAGCCAATGGAACAGGAGACTTAGGATTTTTATCAATATTGTTCATCACTTTTGAATTCAATGGAATAGAAACAGATTCAAGAACTGGAAAATTTGAATCAAAAGAACTAGCCGAGATCAAAGGATGATGCTGACAAGAATCAACAACAACTTCGACCTCGTCGGCCCAAGAAGCCTTACCAGAAGAGCTAGGAGCCTCAGATCTCTGGCGAGCAATCTCCTGAGGAGAGATTTGATTCATAACAGATTCAGATCGCGAGCAATTTGCCTGACGATCAAAGCTCAAATCCCTACTAGATCCATGAATTGGAGCTTTTAAGATGTCCGCCATTAGCATCTTCTTTTTTTCACCCTTTGGCCCCGTTGACCCCATAGAATTCAATAAAACCTCCTCTTCTTCAATCGATCCAGCATCTGAATGATCTGAAAGAAATCCCGATCTCGAAGATGAAGAACTAAATCCAACATTTAGGATTTTTTTCCCATTATTTTTCCTCTTTTTTGGCATTTTTTAACCACGGCGGGGGCGCAAGATAGCGGATGAAATCGCCCAGCTATCGTGCACCTAACCGCCCATTTCCTCTTAATATCTCATAAACAGCTAAGAGTTTTTTCCTTGATGTAACAATATTACTAGAGTTTGATGGTTGCAATTTTTAAACTACACTTAATTGTGTTTTTTTTTTTGTAGAATAATGCATCCACTTGATGGACGGCTACGTGAGGGCACTTGCAAAATCTTGAAGGGCGTTTTACTATGGAAATTTTTGAGAGAATATTTTAAGCGCTTTTGAAGTAGTACATATGAAAGCATCGTCGTCAGAAATTATCGTAGAATCTTTTTTCATAATTACTTTTGTGGAAATATTTTGCTTGTGGTTTTATTATAGTGTTTCCATTTGTCAAATTGATTGCCGTTAAATCATGAATACATTTTTTTTGTTAAAAACCTTTATATGCAGGGAAAATAGCAAATTTGAGGTGGGCCATGTGAGCATTGCCCATGAAACCTTCCCGGGTTAATGTATTGTGTGTTGTGCACGGCGCGGAAGCCAAACAAACAACCAACTATGATGCTTTGAGAAACCAAACCAACAAATGTTTTGGGTTATTCTTCACGTTTTTCACAATTCCTTCGCCGTTTTCACAATTCTCCACCTCGGCGAAGTGTTCCCAACACTGAGCCGACACCAACCAAAACAAATGCCT